AACAGGTTAGGCTAATTTCTGTTATAGTGGCATGTGACAGAAGGTTAGTAGTGTAAAATCTTTGTTTTATGTTCCAAGTAACAACAATCTGTGTAGCTCCTGCCAGGTATAGTATACGTATGTCCATTCAGTTTGTCAAAGAGTTGTCTTCACTTGTGAAATATAGTCATTAAAGTATTTTTTTAAACTCTGGATTCTCAGGATTTCTTGCCCAGTAACAAGTCTGCTCTTTTGTTGCAAGAATTCAAGTCTCCAGAACATCTGGCTATGGTCATTAAGAATTTGAACGAGAATGAAGTGGAATATGAGAAGCTTCGAAAGTGGAAGACTTCTGGAATATCTAACACATTCTTGTTCGACACCATGAGCTCCCGGACTTGGGCCCCTGATGATGAAGAAAACTGGATCCCTGGCCACACAAACTTTGTGGAAGGATTTGAATGTTATGTATGCAATAAAGTCCATGACAACATGAAGAGACAACATAATGGTCAAAACATTAAAAAACAGTGGGGGAAAAAATCTCATTATGGTTGTCCAAGACCAGCAAAGTTTGATGAATTTGGTCGTTATGGAAAAGCTCCAGGTTGGTTGGACTTTTGGAGTAGTCAGTGGGAACAGCACGGTGCAATGGCTGGTAATCTCAAGCAGTGTGTGCTCCAAGGAAAGACTGACTGTAAAGAAGACACTGTGGGTAGCAAAGCAAAAGGAGACTTTTAGCCCATTCTTCTCGTTATACATGTACATGTATGTCTTTGTTTGTTATCATTCTTTCTCCCACATCTTCCCATGGGTGGACTGAGCCATGAAAACAAGTCTCTTTGTGATTGATGTGTGTTATCACATTTTTTGTTTTGTTTTGTTTTTTGTTTTTTTACAACCAATGTCTCCTCATCTGTTTGACATTTTTTCTTGCCATGTCATTGTGACTCTATGTTGGTGTTAATGAGTTTAGTTTTTGATTTATCTGAAGGTCTTAATTAGTCAAAGGGTTTTTGTTAAAAACCATTTGCTTAAAGTTTTAAAAGTAAAAATTGGGAGTTTTAATGAGCAGTAAAACTAACGCTTTACTTACTCTTGAAATACTTGCTTGTAGTTGGGAAAGAAATATGAAGATTTATTTAGATATATATATATTTTGTGCATATCGACATGTATAACCACATTATTTTGTGTGGCTGTGTGTGTCTTGGTGTTTGTAGAATTTTTGTTGGTTTGGTTTTGTTTATGTGTATTGTGGCATTTTTCCTTTTGTTTGTTTGTTTGTTGTTTGTTTATTGTTTGTTTTTTGTGTTTTTTAGAAATTATTTTTTGGGATTGGCATAGGGGTAAAAGTGAGGAATATGAAGATTAAAAGTACATGTGGGATTGAAAGATCTTTTTTTTTTTCATTGAGCAATCATGATTCTTGGCTGGGTTGAAGCATGCTATTGGTCAAAGAAAAAAATTAAAATGTTTTATATTTTAGTGCAATATTTTTGCAAGGGTTGCAACATTCACAACTCTTTTATGATGAAACCAAAGCTTTTATGTGCGCTGATGCATGTGATATGTACAATCAGATTGCTTTTAAGAATATTTTCTCGCTCTCCCTCCCTGGTTGTTTGAAATGAGAGGGAGTCTTTGTTCTGCATGTTTAGTTGTAGTTATTTCTGCAGAAATATCGTCAGTATTGTTGATGAACATGTGTCAATCAATAATTCAGAAAAGATGCACTCGCTTTAAGGAAATGATCTCTAAAAATGCATCGACCCACTCCGTTCAGGGTGGCATCGGTAACCAAGTGGTTAGGCTGCCAGAGCCATAATCAGGAGATTGCGGATTCGTGGGTGTGAGCCTCAGCTCAGGCCGACATTGTGTCCTTGGGAAAGGCATGTTACACGAATTTCTTATTTGGCTTGTTCCTTTCGGGGGATGGAAATTAAACTCGGAGGTCTTGCCTCTTAAATAACCTAATTGTGTTGATAGGGGTGTTAAACCTACACCATTTCACTCCGTTCAGTTTCTTTTTGCAGCAAAGTATTCAGTATTTTGATTTGTAGGAAAGAGTTCAGTATGTCCTGAGTACAGCCCTAAAACCATTTCAAAGTAGAATAAATCATTAGCAGTTCATTTTGCTTTTAGTTTCCTTTTTCTTATTCAAGATTGTGTTCATAATTATATGATCTCATCAAGCCTGAATGAACTGGGTTTTTTTTTCCCCCCTACTCTTATTTTGTGTTTATGCAGTGATACTTGTCCGAAATAACCTTTATATATGGGCAATTTTCAATTTCATAGTGTATTCTGATGTACTACGCATCGTACAAAAAATAAAGCCAATTAGCAACACTTCTGTTGGTATCCTGTATTTTAAACTTTACTTCTATTTTCATTTTCCAAATATAAATGAAATGTTGAGCAATAGTAATGATGGATAAAGTTTCTATCTTGTCATTTAATTAGTAATGTAGTTATTTTGTATAAAAGACATGTTTTTACATGCCTCATTTTCAATGTTTTGCAACACAAGTGCTCATAGTTTTATTAGATACTTCCGTGAGTTTGAGCCAGCAACAGAGTTGTGTTGGGGTTTTTTTAAGTTAAAAAAAAAAAAAATTTTCCCCAGACCACAAAAAAATAAAAGTCAGTTTATTCTATTCTATGAAATGCCCTTTCATGTTTGCACATTGTAAAGAGAGAGGTGTTATAATTGCTTATTTGTCTTCTTTTTATTTTGCTAATCGGGGTACATTTTATAAACGTTTCTTGCCCATTTTTTTGTTTAAAGGGACAGTTAGAGGGCAAATCTCTCTTTACTATTCGCTTTGTATAGTGCTAACAAAACAGTAACAGTATTGTCCAGACTGACATTATGAATAAGTAAGGAACCGGTTTTAAAAATGCTGTTCATCTGGGTTTTTTTATTACCTTCGAATCTTCAAAAGCGCCCTGGCGGACACCCTATCTACGGGATAGGTGAAAGGTGAAGGTGTGCAACTTAAAGATGGATTTTCTTATTGAGAGATTCTAAAACTTCAAATTGGTCTCTTGCTCATGTGTTCAGTCAACCTGAGAATATTTTTGTTTATAAATAACCATTACATGTTTTGCATCAAGATATCACCTTTTTATTGCCAGTCTGGTGATTTACTCAGTGATTTATTTCTTTTTCATAGAGAGCAAAAGTGTTTCCAGCTTTTTCTCTTTTCAAATGTGAGTTTGGATCTGTAACATGTATGGCACTAGACGTTTGAATTTCACTTTTTTTTTTCTTTAATTGAGTTACTTATCCCAACTGTTATATTTTTTTCTTGAAATACGAAAATGCATTTAGATAGCCTCTCTCATAGGAGAAAACTCTTTCAGTGCTGTTGGATCTGTAAAGTTCAAGGTCTTCTGCTTGAACACGAGTTTTCCCACAAGCAAGATAGAATCATCATTACTTTCTTCATTGTCACTGTAATTCCAAACCAAACATTGTATTAAGTATCCATGAATCATCTGCTGGTGCTAAATTCTTTCTTGACTACCCATGAATTACTTCAGTGTGGTCAGTGAATTGCTCTTTTTCTTACTCATTACTCTTTACTCAGTGCCATCACAGACATGAAATCTACTCAGAACTGCTAGTCAGAGCTAGGAGCAGAACTGACAGGGCAATCAGACAGCAGGAGATTCCCCTTCTGGCTTGTATTTTGACGCTGTACATGGCATTGCTTCAGAAAAATTATTAAGTCCTCAGAGTCGGAGCAGTCTATAGTTAAGCAGGCCTACACTTTGGACAAAGTAATGCTGAGGCGACAATGTGTCAGGCTATGTGCTGATCATGGCTTCTGGGTGCTCTCCTGCTGTGTTTCTCCCTAGTGTAAATGAGATTCGAGCCAGAAATATTTGAGGGATGGAGATGCTTTTTAGTCTGGAGTGGTCAAAACCATATTATTATTTTATATACGGACTTTGGCAAAAGATTTTTGCTGAGTGTGGCCAGGTTTGTGAGAAAGTTTGTTTCCATTTCTTTTCAACACATCGAAGATATTTGTCCTGCTTTGTTGAATATCATTGAGAGAATGAGCAAGATGTTGTCTTAGTGAGTAATAATTCATTCTGGCATTTGAACTGATATTGTATCGTCATTAAGTAAGCATATTCTTGCTTGAGATGGACATTGCAGTTTACTGCACTTGTTTTCACTGATGATAATGTATTATTATGAGTATATAGAGTGATCTGGAAAATCCACGGGCTAATATGATAAACAATACTTTGCAACACACATGCAAACTTGTGTAACATTAATTTATACCACTAAGTCAAAATTAATAATACTGAAATCTGAGAAACCTAGGTGCACTTTATGAATGGAAATTTTACTTCTATATTTATGGTTTCTTTTTTTTTAATTCTTTAATGCTAATAAACATGTATTACTCGTAGTACTCAAAGAATAAGACTCTGGAACTTGTATAGTGTAAGTTTATGTGCTTTTGCCAAATAAAAATGGCTTTTAAAAGATTTTTTAAAATGTCATCCTCTACATATTGGCTGGTGGTAGGCTCTTCTGAAAGCTTTGACTTCATTGTGTATATATATCTATATATTGCATGTACATTACATGCATTTCAATTCCTTTTTCAGTACGTTTTTCCCCTTGCGCCAGCACTTTCTTGCTACTGTACCAAAGAACAAGGATGTGTGTTTCTTTTATGATGACACAGCAATGCATTTTGCTTTCAATAAATAATTTTGATGTTTATATATTTCTTGGTGACGGGCTTGTCTTATTGTATATCCTCAACAGCAAGCACTTAAAATGCACCAAGCCAGAAGCAAAATCTTACAGGAGAAACTAAACTTTCATCTTTTAATAACTTTGTAATGCACTATTTATTTTTTTCTTACTGTGTTCAACCTTTAGACACTGAATTTCAACCAAATTTTTCTTGGAGCACATGGAACGGTTAATACACATGAAAACAAATTTTATGCAAATTATATTTTAATAGCTGCCCAATTATATAATACCTCTTATCGAGTGGTTTTAAAAAAGAAATTAGAAAAAAGTTTTTTAGCTCTTGCAACACAAATAGGTTAAATAAGTGCCGAAGATTAGAGTGGTTGCTTGAAAATGTGAGAAAAAGGAGGGGAAGGGGGTGGAGCTCTTGTAGTCGAGAGGTTACAGTTTTCGCCTCTCATTCAATAGGTCCCGCGTTCAAATCCGGAAAGGGACTAACAATTCTCTTCTCCAAAATTTTCTTTCACCCCCTTTCCTGCTCTCTAACAATGTTCTGTCGTCTACTTTTGTCTCCATTTTCTACCCCCACCCCCTCGTCTCCTTTGCCTCCTCTTCTTGGCTCATGACTCTTTCTGCAGCCTTTCTACTGCTACTCCTTGGCTCCTTCTTACTGCTTTCTTTCAGCCACACCCCTGATCTTATGGTAGGTAATTTCTGACACCTTGCCTTCTCGGATAAAGGCGAAAAATCTTGAAGGTCTCGTGTGCAAGTTGCGCACGTTTAAGATCCTTTGGTGGTCCAACATTGATAAGACTAGGCTTCGGCTGCCTCCCGGACAAAATTCAAAATTTCCTACCTACTGAAAATGTTTAATGTGTCCCGCGCGCTCATATGACCTTAGGCAGTCGCGAGCGCCGAAAAGAACGTACCCCCCCAAAAAAAAAGAAAAAAAAGGGGGGTGGGGGTAATTGATGTCCAATAGAGCAAAACCACACCAGAGCACCCGCCAACCGCCATCTTATCAAATGTGACAACTTTATATTATAAATTATAGTTATAGCCTATTATGTTGATTATATAACCCAGGAAGAGCTGTCCTGAAGTTAGAGAACCGAGACCCCCCCCTCCCCCCTACCCGGGGCAGTGCCACGGACTGTAGTCTTTAGGCCATTCCCAAGGGGGGAGGGGGCATTTCTCGTTCAAGCATAGTAGAATTGTAAATGGGCTGACTAATGTCACGCTCATAACTGTGCCTGATCTACAACAGGGAACTGCTGCTTTTTCTTTCCTGACCCTTACTATTATCATTTTCCTCTACTTCTTTTGTATGTTTGTCACTCTCTTGGGACCTGCTATTTCCGGGGTGCCTTGATAGTGGAAGCAGACCTTGTGCTGTTGAAGCTAGAGAGGTGAGCAGTCTAAGTCTAAGTCTGATTCCCTGTATAAGACTTCTCTGTTGACACCCACCCCTTGGCGCTCATATGACCTTATGCAGTTGCGAGCGCCCTAAAACCCTCTACTATAAAAACAAAGAGAGAACCGAGGCGAAAAGAAATTAAATGTAGAAAAGGCAGGAATAAATTAAATGTAGACCCTGCTTGCAGTTCAAAGTCTTGATTTTTACTCATCTTTGTTTAGGAAGCTGTTAAACACTTCGATGGTCTTCTTTAATTCTAATTTGAATTAATGGAATACGTGTATAGCCACAGATATGAACTCGGACACATTATTATGAATACAGTGCTTTTATTCCCACATGTGGATGGAGGGTTGTAGAGTTTCTGCTACAATTTCACTTCAGTTGGTGTCTATCAACACTGCATAACTATTTTATGAATGCAAATGTTTCTAATTAAAAATTGGAGGTAGAAAAAAAACAACCCAACAACAACAACAAACAAACTCTCTGAGGATGTGCCTTTATTATTATGATTTAAATCACTTTGCCCGATGAGCAGATACTTTCTATGCAGCCCAAGCGGTGTCGATTGGATTAATGGATAGTTTAAAGTCGGGTAGATTGAGCAATATCTGTATGGGACCACATATTTAGGTCAGAGATAGACTATGCATCTCTTCAGTTTTAATTTAAAATGTAGACTGTTGTATACGCACTTTTTCCATCTCCCTGGGCGTTAGGGTTGATTGTTTGTTTCTTAAATGAAAATTAGTGAATGGGTTTAACGACCAGCGTCTGTGGTGTAGCGATTAGGCGCTCCGCTATCGCACGCAGGAGACTGTACCCGAGTTCGATTGACGAGTAGGGCAATTTTTATCGAGTACCTCGGTCTTTCTACTGGACTGTTGTATCCCTATGAGTCAGTGTTGGCCCTGGCAGGCAGGGTAAAAAACCAGCCTTCTTCTAAATCATCTATATTGTGTCGATGGGGGCCTTAAAACACCTACATTAAAAAAATAATTAGACTGTCGACTATCACGGCTGCCGCTCTTTGCGCACAATGGGCGCCCTGATGAAGGGCAAAAAATTATCTCGATTTAATCGGATGTGCGAGTGTCCTTTCCTACTTGCCCTTCTTTCGGCTCCAAATTGAGCTTGTAAAAATCTGCGCACAGCATGAATGCGTCAGAGTTCGCAGTCTTGAATTGGATATTTTAATAAAAATCTTTGCTTCAAGAAAAAGTAAATTGTTTGCACCAAATTGTCTTTCAAACTACACCTATTTGAAATACAATAATATGTGAGTTGAGGGGTACCATAGTAAATAAGCCTTCTGGGCGCCTGATAAAATACGTGCAGCTCCTTGAATGGCAGAAAAACGCGCATCAAGACAATTCTCCCTGCGAGATGAACAAAGATTGTCATTGTCACAGCCATTATCTTTGTTGTTGTCATTTGAGCACATTAAGGGCCCAGTTTTTTAACAGAACAGAGTGGCAAACGCAAAATGGTAGGTCATTAACATGATGAATACATAATGTGGATTAAAGGAGGCATAAGGGAAAGGTGTTTGACTTTTAATGTGAACGAGTGGAAGATAACATTAGGTACAGTATGTATCAATGTCAGATCTCTTCGTTTTGCGACTGTTGGCACAGTAGAATAGCGACAGTCTCCTGAGCTATACCAATCTTGACTTTCCTGGCCTAGAGACTAGAGACAAAAGAACTAGCACAAACATGAAAAGTACCGGTATTGGTATTCTTTTTTTTTTTGGTGTACATTCATGGAGTATGGGGAGGGTTTCGGATCAAAATTATGGAAATTGAGTTGTAGGCATTTTTAGCTTCCTCAGCTTCTGCTAAAACTAATTCATGGCATAAGAAGCCCCAAAAATCTCATTTCTTCCCATACCGGGCATGTCCGTCACCACCATTTCATCATAAAGTCAATATTTCTAATTTTTTTATCGGCCGTTTTCTCAAAACACGATTTTTCTCTATACTTTTTTGAATGTCTCTTTTTTAAAATCCAATCTTGATGAAATTTTTACCGAATGAAGAGAAGATGCAATACGAAAAATTTGTATGTTGAATTTTTTATATGGAATACAGTTTTAGTGGTGGTGTCTGGAGTGTGGATTTTCACGGATTTTTTGCAAGTTTGAATACTACCACAGGAAAAAATTCATTAGAAATGTTCCAATTTGTTTAGCAGAAAACCAACAGACAATTATTTAGATCTAATGTTTGTGGAAACAAAACTTTTTTCTCAAATTTGATTGCAGGTTTTAAGACTCCTTACTATGCTTGCTGTATGAGTGAAATTTGGTAAAATTGGGTCCTCTAATAAGCGAGATAACCGTCATGTGTAGCCCCCCCCCCCCCACCCTTAAGTAAAGTAATCTACTAAAGTGTAGATTTCGTGAAAATGAGAGAGGACTCAATTTATGAATATAATTGACAATAATAGGACGCTAGACAAAAGAAGGCCTGTGAGTTAAGACTATAATTAGTGAACAAAGGAAGAAACAGGGTACGGTGCGATTGGAAAAGTGGTAAAATAAAGGGGTATGATTGATGAAATCTGAGTTTGAAATATTATGCTTGCGATGTTTTCTGAGCAGGTGTGGCAAGAAAAGACACGCGTGTGGTAATCTGATATTTAGCCTCAGACAACTCATTAAGGGAAGAAAAAATGGAGATGCTTGTTTATTTGCTGTCTCATTTCTTATTAATATGTTGGCTTTCTGAAGAATGTATTGGCTGTTTACATTTTTTCTTTCAAGCCGACGCTAACAGTGTTAGTAAAACTTCACTGTAGTAGTAGTATAGGGTTTTACGGCGCTCGCAACTGCTAAGGTCATATGAGCGCGCCAAACTTCACTCTTCAGATTAACGTGAAAAATAAAGCCCATTCCCGTTCCGTGCCTGGCTTCTATACTTAATCCTGACTGCACTCTTGATTTTAAAAAAAGTAGATTTTGCTCATAATACTTGCACAAGGTAGGGGTTCACAAAAACCATTTGTATTGAATAGTTTAACAAGTCAGCATTACAAGCATTACTGTAACTTTATACAAATTCTAGTATCTAACGCTCTGTACACTGTAAAACGTTGTACATGAACAGGGATGGCAAGGACTTGGTGGTATAAATCCCTCATCCCCCCCCCCAAAAAAAAACACGACCACATCCCACAATGCGCACCTAATACAAGCGAATGCGACAACAAATACATCTAAGGAACCGAATGACAAACAACTCCCCCCCCCCCCCCCATTTTGGCCTACAGCACACAGAAGATGCTGAACGATAGAAATTGGTTTATTACTTGCATTTTTTGTGGATAGAGAAAAAAAATAGGACATAGGGAAAAGTAGGACATCGGTTGCTTCTTCTTTGTCATTACTTTCTTTTTATTGGGTCATCTTCCATCACTATACTTTCTTTCTTCATGGTTTTTATGGTATCGATTTTTATAACAACCACAAAAAAATCACAAATACATCATGTATAATATGCACGCATGGAGGGGAACTCACAGTATAAACATCGATTTTCGATCAGACATATAAAAAAAGAGCGGACGATTCCAAACGATTTTTGTGAAATACAAAGTAAGATAACTGAAGAAAGGTACATAATATCACATAATATAGATTTTATAATGATCAGATCAGCTACTATGACGATCACACAGAAAACCAAGAAAACATGTCAAAGAGTAATCTTGAAAAGAAATAAACCGAAAAACCGAAAAATACTTTCGATAAACCGATCACAGTCAGAAATATTATATTAGTTTTGGCTACTTTTATCTGGCAGTAAAACAAAAGCAGCAGAAAACGATCCATTGTTCACAAACACGCTCACAAGGGAAACAAATAGTATCCTGAACAATGAAAATGTTTGGGTCTTTGACTAAGCTGGTGATTCCCCGATAGTAAGAACTCGACTACATTCTGTTGATTCTACAGTTTTGTACAGTATAAAAATCTTACCTACGCAAGCTGAAGTTGGTTATGGCTGTTGTTCTTGCCATTTTCATTTAGAAGATTTAAGCACTTATTATACGTTGCTATGGTGTTAGCTCATATGCACACGTCCTGCTCCCCTCACCCCCGCACTAAACGGCCATCAACACATTGATGTACTTCTCTTTCATTAAAATTCCCCTGACACAAAGATATATATATGTATAATGCACTTGTCCCAGAACCAGCAGAGAATCTAGTCAATCGACTAAGGTCTTCTGCGTGCTATCATGATGCGTTAATCACTATATAACAGACGCTGGTGATCCCTGCCCATGGTAGACAACACGAGACAACACGCGTTGATTCTTCAGAATCACACAGTAGCTTACACTTATAACGTTGGGCATTTTATGGAGCGAGAATCTCCACCGATGACCGGACAAACCTTCTCGTATTTAACATTGTGTCGCAACTAAGAAAAAATGTTAATAAAAATAACAGGGAAAAGAGTCACGGGACAGTGTACGGTAATAAGAGTTCTTCTTCATTCAAAGTAAAGCAAGTAAGTGGATGGGTTTAATGTCCCTATTAAAACGGTCAGGGTATTGAAGAAATGGGGCCTTCGAATGTAACGCTCATCTCTGATGATAGGATCGTGCCAATTATGGGTTGAGGGCCTTGGAAACTCAATAAAACAACCCAAATTCAAAGAGTATCAAGTTGGGGATTCAAACCAATGTCGTCTGCTCCGTAGACAAGCATGACACCACTTGAGGTAACGGAAAGCTTTTTTTGCACCCTGGCCTCCTTGGAAAAACAAACCTCCAACCATAAAGAGAAGGATGACACGCACAAGCTTCTCCACTGATCAACATTATCACAATACGCAATACCCCCTTACCCGTCTCCGATTCCTGCCTGAGGGTTGATGGTAGCTAACTGATTGCTAACCAACACGAGATGCAACCCCTCCGAACAACGAATCACACACACACATACACACACACACACACACACACACATATACACACACATGCACACAAACATACACACAGACATACAAACACGCACACATTTATACACACGTAAACACGTACACACACATACAAACACATACACACACACACACACACTTATACACATGAACACACACACACACACACACACACACACACACACACACATACATACATACATACATACATACATACATACATACATACATACATACATACACACACTCAAACATACACATACACACACAGAAACACACTCACAGAAACACACACACTGGCTTCCGTAATTAAGATACTCATGAGTGGTATATTTTACTGGGGTGTCACTCATAGATGCACCTCTTAACCTGCCTTCTTCCCTTTTTCTTATCTCCTTCCCCCCTAAAAAAAACCGGAACCAAATGCTCCACCTTCAAAATGACACACTAACAAGGAGTCCCTCATTCATACACACTTCTCTCCCAAAAGGAACCTAAAACCAAAGTTTTCATGCAAGAGAACATTCATGTTATTATCAGAGAAATTTACCGACCTTTCCACACCGATGTTATGTGATGCACAGAGGACAAGGCAGATTAATGAAAAGACTCAACAGTAAGAATTATGAAGCAAACTTACTGCCAGTGGCATAGGATGAGCTTACTATATAAGGTATTCTTCCTGGATATTACATAACTTATTACTGAACTGAAATTCTGCAAACAATATGCTACACCTGAGTTTGTAAATTTATGATTATCGTCTACTGATTTTGTGACAAGTTGATTGTACTGTAGTCGGAAGTGGCCTGTCTTTTGTGGACACAGCCTAATGAAGTCAGGGTCGTGTGTGTGAGTGTTGCCGACAAGGTAAATTCCTGTGTGTTGTTATGATCGAAGAACTTCACAGTCCCTGCTCCTCCAGCCACACCTCCAACACATAACGGGTGTATTGCGCCAGGGCCGCTGACGCTACAGTTGTACGGTGGCACAAGCAGCCTCGCCCCACGCGTTTCTCTTCCCTTTTTTCCAGGTGGTGATGACCTCTTGATCTCTTCTCTGAAAAAAATAATAGTTTTTGTTTGTGTGTTAGCAAAATATAATTATATTTTGTTGACTCCCCCTCACCCCAATTTTCCTCCCGTTCCTCTTTTCCCCGCCCCCTATTCCTTTTAATTCTTTTCATTCCTCATTCTCCTTCTCCTCTTCCTTCTTCTTCTCCTCCTCCCCATCCTCCTTCTATTCCTCCATCATATCTTCCTCCCTCTTTTTATATCATCCGTCTAATGCTTATCGCCATCACCCACTTTACTACTAACAACCTCGTCATCCACTTCGAACCTTTGACGACGGGCTTCTTCTCTTAATTGTCTCCTTTCACCTCCTTTTTTTGCTCTCTAGCAATGTTCTGTCGTCTGCCTTCGTCTCTACTTTCTGCCCCCTCCCCATCACCTCCGTTGCCCCCTTGTCTGTCTGGGCTCCAGACTCTTTCTGTAGCCTTTCTACTGCTTCTCCTTGGCTCCTTCTTACTGATGTCTTTCAGCCACACCCCTGATCTTCTGGTAGGAAAGATTAACACCCAGCGTTCTCGGACAAGGGCGAAAAATCACGGAGGTCTCGTGTGCCAGTTACACACGTTAAAGATTTTTGGTGTTTTAAAAACGATAAGAGTAGGCTTCAGCTGTCACCCGGGCATAATTCAAAATTTCCTACCATCTGAAAATGTTTGGTATGTCCACTGCGATCATATGCCCTTATGCAGTTGAGAGTGCCGTAAAACCCTTCCCCCCCCAAAAAAAAAACTGGCCCTCACCAGTGTGTTCCTTCAGAGGCCAGGCGGCCCAGCGGTAGCAACCGTCCTCTCTGTCCTGCCAACTCAGCACTTTGTTCAGCCAGTCCGAGTTGAAGAAGTCACGGTATCCCAGCATGCCACACAGAGCCGCTGGAGCGTGGAGTTAGGGGGGGGGGGGGGAGAGAATCGGGAGAACTCTTGTTTTGGAGGGTGTTTATTATCAATATTATATGGGATTATCACCTTATACAATATAATGAGTCATTTGGAAGATGGAGTACCGACTAGACTCATAAATAAATTGCACAAGAAAGAAAGAAAGGAAAGAATGCGAAGACAATACACCAAAACGGTTACAATAATTATACAGGCACTAATGACGCGTATGTTATGAAGATACTGCCCTTCCTGCGTGTGTGCTTTGAATCTTTTTGCTTGTTTTTTTTTTACGCCCCCATCAACACATTTAATTTTTTTCTTGCCGCGGCAAAAAGATATAGACGCCGGTGCTGTAAGTCTAATGTGTAAACCCCCACCCTTTTGGGATGGGGCAGGAATATTTGGTTTTCGATTTAGTCATAGTTTTACGGCACTTGCAACAAAATAGGTGCAGAGGATTGGAAGTGTTACAAGAGAGTGTAAAAAAAACCCCGAACCCTAACCAAACAAACAAACAAAAGGAGTGGAGATACGGATGACAGATGTTTAATAGGAAAGAAGAAGGAGCAAACAAGACCACAACACTACCTGCCAATCACCCACTATTGGATTTTCAACAAGTATAATCTTTGTTTAAAAACGATGACGCCAGTGACTGCTCACCCTGCTCCATGAAGAGGTCCTGAGATTTCTCTGGGAATCCTGACTCGGCGAACAGCTCAGACTCGGACACCATGTTGGCACAGAACACCCCGTGCAGGAGAGAGATGCTGCCTTGATGCTGGTCCTTCAGATGCCACTGCATCTCCTCTTTGCACCCGGTCTAAGGAACAATATCCATAGAGGTACATTATTATGATTATTATGATTATGATTATGATTATGATTATGATTATGATTATTAT